GTTGCAATTATCAATTGTTGCTTGTCTACAATTTTGTAACAGTCACTAACTACAAGTGTTGTAAATTGCTTTACAGGTTGCTTTCCCCGTCTTGGAGGATTTAGAAATTCAGGAATTGCCTAACATAATAGAGATATGGGACAAGCAATTACTCATAGCCTCAGAAAAAGAATCAATGTCCTTCTGCCAACTAAAAGATATGAAGGTTTCTAATTGTGAGAAATTGGTACATATGGTCCAGTTCAATATGCTCCCACAACTGCAAAATCTGAAAACATTCAACATAGATAATTGTCCAAAGATGGAAGCGATAGTCTCGAAGAAAGAAAAAGAAGAAGGAACCACCAGTAATGATATCATCGTGTTCTCTCAATTAACAACTCTTAATCTTTCTGAGTTGGTGAGCCTTAAAAGTTTCTACAACTGGCCTACAAGATCTGAAGTACAACCTTTGTTTAACCACCAGGTTTGATTTTTCTAATTTATTTTATTAACCCTGGCATAGGAAAGCGTGCACACAAAAAAACTAAAATTCCTTTTCAATTACAATTTTAAATTTGAAGCTTATTTGAATATTCTCTTTCTATCCAAATCCAAATAAAAGTAAAATAATTTCAAGGTGGATATGCTAGGGGCCTACAATTGTCACGACCCCATTCTGCCCCTAATAGAATATTGTCGTGATGGCTAGTAATCCGAGATTATCGAAGGCCAACTTACAAAGATTCACACAAACAATGTATACATGTGGGGCATACATGTGCGGAAGCATAAATTTAAATCTAGTTAGTCCATAAGAGTTGTGCATAGATTAAATGAAATGACACACATCTTAACGTGGTTTTACAACTTGAATACAAATAAAATAAACTTCACATTACATCTTGATCAAATGGCTTCTCAAGCCAAAACATACAAAAGAAATGATCTACAAAGCTAAGAAGCATAATCTTCAAGATGCTACAAAACAAGAACCAAAACATCTTCCAAATAAGGCTTAGGCGACACCGCCGTCGTGTTCGTCACCTACATATATATATATATAAGGGAGAGGGGTGAGCTGAAAACTCAATGAATGATATAAGTAATAAAGGTTTGAATGAATGATATCCGAGATTTTGCCAAAACAATACATATCATAACTTGTAACAAAACAAGGGATGACCAAGTCCATCAATCAAATCTTTCTAAGCTTCAAGGGATGTTTACCAACATCTACATAATACAAAGGATGACATTCATTGACAAAGCAAAGGAATAACTGACTCAGAATCAGTTAAACAAGCCCACTTGTCGGTGGCAAAGGAGATATCTCAAACAAAAGTACCGGTTGCATTAAAGTCCCCTAGCACTAAGGACCTTTCAAGAGTGTTATCAAAACAAACATAACACTTGATACAAAAACTAAGAGACAATCATTCATGCTTGATCAAATACTTTTCCAAAACAAAGCAAAGCTTTTATCAAAACATTATAACATAACTTTATTAAAAATACCACTCACAATAGGTCTTCGGATGTAGGGATTAAGGCAAGGATCCAAGACCAACAAGTACATGGCAAAATCCATTGAATGCATTTCAAGAGGACAAGAAGGAATGCTCAAACATGGTTATGCAATGCACTCTTAAAACAAGTTTGAAATGAGTAAAATAGATCCCAGAACTTCTTTCCAAAACCAAGTCAAGACAAAAAGCAAAACATGTGCTGGGAGTTAAATCATTGTTTTTCTTCTTGGAAAAGCATGCTGAGTACTAGGAGTTAAATCAATGTTTTTGTTCTTGGAAAAGCATGATGGGTACACACCAATTCTCAGAATGGAATCACAGAGATGAGCTGGGCCAAAATAGCCTAGCTGGGTGAACTTAGGAGGTCTTGCCGAGGTGTGGTTTCCTTGGCCTAGGTGTGGGGGCTGCCTGCCGAGATACTACAAGGTGCCGACAAAGGTGTACTGTGGTCAACCTAGGTGTGTAATGGTTGGCCTAGGTGTGCATGCAAGATAGACTAAGGTGCCAGTGATCATGCAAGGTATGCTAAGGTGAGATACAATGCTTGGCCTAGATGTGAGGTCTGGGCAAGAGTGGGTCTTAGTGACCACACTTAGGGAAATAGTGAAGTCTGGAAATCTGGATTTCCTTTTAAATAACATGAAGAACATGAATGCTAAAATCATAACTTTTTATTCAAAATTTGAGATTTCATGATATGAGTTCAAAAACATGGACCTAGGTACCCATACTTGAAGATTTCAAGAAAACAAACACAAAAACATGGAAATTGATACAAACTTTTGGATCAAAACATGGTTTTTTCTTTAAGAACACAAAAACACCACTTTCTCTTTCTAAAACAAAACTTTAAATCTATGCATGGCTCATGAATCATGCTAGATCATGCAATGTGATCAGATGAACATAAAGACCAATAACAGTAGATCAAGAATCTAACCTCAAAACACGAATCCAATGGTTCAAGGTATGCAAATCAAGCTGGGAAAGTCTAACTCTCTCACTCTAAGAACTTTTTCTTCTTCCTAGAGTTTCTCTCTCTACAAGGAAAAGATATGGCAAATGATATGGGTTTCTCAACAATTGACTGACTTAACCCACTACTGGGACATGTGGCATCATCTAATCAAATCTCCTAAAAAAGGTGCTAGAATGAAAAGACAATAGTAGGCCAAAGTGTGTATAACAAGTAAGGTTGAATGGGCATTCTAACAAGGCAATGATCTTGGATTCAAAGATAGGCTTCAGACAGGTGAGGTCCCTCTGGCCTCGGCTAGGAGAGGTGACACTTGGCCTAGGTGTGACACACCTCTGCCTAGGTTGTACAAGTCAAAGAACAAGATTCCTAGGTGTTGGTTAAGGTGCACAACAAGGCTGCAAGGTTCAAGGATCAAAGATCTCAGATGCCTAGATGGTACACATCTCGGCCTAGGTGATGCACACCTCGGCCTGGGTGATGCACATCTCGGCCAAGATGCCAGGGTGAAGATGGAGGTCAACCAAGGTGGTTCCAAGATGATCCTAGGTATTGACACACAATGGCCTAGATGTAAGAGGTTCAAAGGTGTGACCTAGGCGTGAGGTAGCAAAGGTAGATAGCCTAGGTTCAACACACAAAGCAAGGACCAAAGCATGAATCTAACACTTAGGCAAATGTGATAGCACAAAACAAGGAGGAACCTTTACTTAAGCAAAGTATCAAAATCTACAGATGCAAGCTTAAAAAGACCAAATCATGTAAATTCATATGAGCATGACTAAGACAAGAATGAGGGTTGTTATAATGATGGAAATTACAATATTACCCAAACAAAAATATGAATGAATTCTAAATTTAACACTATATTTTTATTTTGAATATGAATCTTAATATGATTTTATTTGACTAAAATTATGTCCAAAATAGTAATTTGCTTAACCTTGAATTGGAGATCATTAAAAAAATATTTAAATATTGGATATCATATTTTGGTTTTTTGGTTTTGACTGATATGATTTTGTTTTGTTTCACAATCCAAAATTATTCCCTTAGAACCACCTTAAATTTAGATTGCAATTTCCCCATCATCAATCCTAAATTGCCTTCCTTTGGATTTATGCCCCTTTGGTTTTAGGGAAACGATAACAATTTCTACATGATTCCTAGTTGTAATATTTGAATATGGAAAAATCACTATTATAGTTTCTTTTAAAACCTCAAAATATTGAGCAATCCCTATTATAGAAGGTCACAGATCAACTCCCACAACTTCACCATTATGAAAATGTTACTTTCCCCTGCCCAAACATCTTAGGAAACTTCTTGGAAGTTCAATTCCGACCATTGATCCAATTTTAAAACTACATTAATTGATGGATTATGCATGCTGGCTGGAGTTGTTACTAGCGATTAATCAATAACATCTTAAAGCTCAATCTTCTCTACTTTAGTGCTATATTTATTAAGGGCCAATCCTGCTATATCAATTTCAAGAACACAAAAACTAAGAGAAATTATTCAATGTTCCAGGAGACAAAATGTTAAGTGTTAATCTGTAAATGGAATAAAGCAATACTCCAAAAACTAAACACATAATGAAATATAAATATCTTACAATAGGTGAGATCCTAAGGATGGATCTAGGGGGTGTGGAGGGAGGTGATTGCACCCCAAAAATTTAGAAAATATCATATATTATGTTGGAAAATTTAAAATAATTAAAAATAAGGATTTACACCTCTAAATATATGTGAGGCCTCCCTTTTATGAGATATCAAAATCTCATTTTTTGTTTGTTTGTTTGTTTGTTTATTTGTTTTGTTTAGTCAAGTCATCACGTCATGCTATGTGGCAACTTTATCTAGCCTAAAATAAAAAATTGTAATTCAAAGGCGTGATCAAGGTTAGATCCCAAGACTTTGAATTTCATTAAGAACAATCTTACCACTTAGGCAATATACATATTATGATATTAATTTCTTTATTATTTATTTTTATTCTTACTTATCTAAATTGTACACATATCGCGTGTGTCACTTGCTAATCATTATTTACATGATTTATTATTTTTAATAAACAAATCTATATAAATTTTGAACATTTGGATATAAATTTTGAAAGACAAAGGGAAGTGAAAAAAATTATTTTATATTTTATTGACATTGCTTTTACAATTTTTTTTTTTTTTTTTTTTAAGATCTTTTCTTAAGTTTATCATCCATACATAAAATAAAATTTTGGCTCATCAATAATAGAAACATGTCTCATCAATCATCACTGACGTTGAATTCCATTATACAAGGCTACTTCATTCTGTTATTAAATAAGATGACAAAATGAATTTTTGTAGGTTTCTTTTCCAAAGTTGGAGACACTATGTCTCGATAATTGTGTAAACTCAAGAGAGATACATCCTTGGAATGTTCAGGCTGGCAAAATAAGTTTAAAATTCTTGGACGTAGCAAATCTGGACAAATTAATTGTGAGAAATTGTAGTGTGGTGGCAGAGGTTTTTCAACTTGGAGGGCTATATGTTGGAGAAGGACAACATGTTAGGCCATTAATTGAAGTAAGAATGATGGAATTGGATGGATTACCTCAATTGACATGTTTGTGGAACAAGGATCCCCATGGAATTCTGGGCCTTCAAAGCCTACAATACCTAACAATTAAGAAATGTTCCCTCTTGAGAAATCTATTCACATGTTCCACCGCCATGGCTCTTCAACAACTTAAAGTACTTTATTTGGAGTCTTGTCCAGTGATGGAAGAAGTTATTGCAGCAACAGAGGATGGGCTCAAGGAAGTGATTGATGTGATTGAATTCCCAAAGTTGGAGTGGCTAATACTGAAAGATCTACCAAACCTCAACAGTTTCTGTAATGCAAACTATAATTTTAATTTGCCATCATTAAACAGAGTTGTTCTGAAGAGGTGTCCGGATATGTACAACTTTACTTTGGGACAAGTATGCATGTCACAGATATTTGTAAGTACACGTGGCAATGAAGGCCTTTGGACAGAAGATCTCAATAAGTATTTAGAGGAACGACTTCTGAAAGGAGAGGTAGACTTTCTTTTTCAACTTGATTTACGGTTAATTATTTTTGTCGGTTGATGAACTCTTTTATCTTTGAACATTTACAAGAGACTACTAAACTGGAGTGCTTCATATGTATTTTTTGTTTATATGTATTTTACTTTCTTTTCTTTTAGGAATGCGCAACCGTGGATGAAAGTGATTTTGACATCGAAGAAGAAGAGTTCTCTAACCTTTATTGGCTAGATGAGTAAAGTAAGTTGATCATCCTTTATTATTAATATATATGTATAAATTTCATAATATTTATAGGGAATTTTATAATAAATATGTTTTAAAAAAAAAGGAGAAAATTTTATTTTACCCTCTAAATTATTACTTGAAAATCAATTCAACCCCTATACTTTCAATTATATCAATTTTACACATAAACTATTCAATTTTTAATCAATTGCGCCATTGTTGTAAGTTGTCTATAATTAGACAACATTTGCTGATGTGGTACCAAACTTCATTTAAAACATCATTTTGCCCCCCCAAACTCTCCCTCAAAAATCAATTAGACCCCTAATATAGGAAAAAAAAATTAAATATTTAATAATAATCTTTCATCTAAAAAAGTGTGAAAATAAATTTTAAATAAATAAAAATTGAGGATTAGTCATGTTGAGTGTTCTTTAGAGAGTACTTGCTAAATTTTGCGTTAAATTGTCATTCAATAGGTGATACGACTGAGTAGGTACTAATCTCGATTTTGTAGACACATCTCGATATATTCATTTTCATCGTTCAATATAATTTTCAAATGTCAAAAAAGTGATGTTACTCTCACTCATTTGGGTACTAAATATTTTAGTCAAAAGGTCACTATAAATTATCACATCACTCTCTTTACTTTTTTGCATATCTTTCCATAAAAAGCAAAAAGTTACTAAAATAGCCTATTTCCAAACAAGGCCATGGTCTAAATTCAATTTTGAAATTACTATTAATCGATCAATTCTATTGAAAGTAATTTGGGAAATATGCTAGCAACAATTGCGCGACACACACATAAAGTAGCAAAGGAAATTTCTACTCAATTAGTTTATCCAGGATCAACTCGAGATAATTTATTATTCAAATAGACAATTTGAAATGAAGATTTTATACTTTAAATTTTTTTTTTCAAAGTATATTATTTGAAGATTATTTATTTTTTCATTTTTAGATAAAAAATAATCAATTAAATATTTAATTTTTTTTTTATATTTGAGGGTTTAATTGATTTTTGAGTTATAGTTTGGGGGTAAAATGAAGTT